CACCTTGACTACTGTAATCTGCTTCTCAGTGGTCTTACGTGCTCCCAACTTGCGTCGTAACAGTCCATAATGAATGCAGCGGCGAGGCTCATCTTCCTGTCCGCCCGCACCTCCCATGCCTCACCCTTCTGTCAGTCCCTACATTGGCCTCCTATAAAATATAGAGCTCAATGTAAAATTCTGGTTCTTGATTTTAAATCTCTACATAATGCTGCTCCCACCTATTATACACAAGTATGTCCCGTCTAGGCCCTTACGATCTGTTGAAGACTTACGTCTATCTTCTGTCCGTACTCCCACCTCTGATGCTCGCCTTCAAGATTTCTCAAGGGCTGCACCATTCCTGTGGAACTCGCTTTCCTCCTCCGTTAGATGCTCACCCAGTCTCCACTCCTTCAAAAAATCGTTAAAAAGCCACTTCTTCATACAAGCGTATCAATTAAACTGTTAATAGCTCCTGACTGATTCCTCTTCTGCAACTGTCACTAGTCTAATACTATCCTTACCTTTTTGTGTCATTTTACTCCACTCCCTCTAGCATGTAAGCTCATTGAGCAGGGCCCTCAACCCCTCTGTTCCTGTGTGTCCAACTTGTCTGGTTACAACTACATGTCTGTTCGTCCACCCATTGTAAAGCGCTGCGGAATTTGACGGCGCTATATAAATATCATAATAATAATAAATAATAATAATAATAATAATAATAATAAAAGCCTTACTGAAATCTATGTAACCAATGTCTACTGCACCACCCTGCTCTATTATTTTAATTCCCCAATAAAAAAAAAAATCAATAATATTTGTATGGCGTGATCTCCCTGAAGTAAACCCACATTGTCTCTGATCATGAAATCCATGTGATTTTAGATGTTCAACAATCCTATCCTTGAACATAGTTTCCATTACTTTCCTCACTACTGAAGTAAGGCTTACTGGCCTATAGTTGCCTACCTATAGTTACCTCCCTATTACCTTTCTTGTGAATGGGTACAACAATCGCTAATTTCCAATCTTCTGGAACTACTCCTGTTAACAATGATTGGTTAAATAAATCTGTTAATGGTTTTGCTAGTACACCTAGAAGTTCTTTTAAAAACTTTGGGTGTATCCCATCAGGCCCCATCAACTTATTTGTCTTTACTTTTGACAGTTGAAAAATAAACTCTCCCTCTGTAAACACACATGTAACAAATGCATTTTCCTTAATTTTCAGCTGTAAATACTGAACATATATATTCATTGATGCAGTCAACTAGACCTTTATCCTCTTCTATATACCTTCCTTCTTTTGTTTTTAATCCCTTCCCGACCATGGATGTACCAGGTACGTCTGACAAAAAACGGTCATTAATGACCTCAGACGTACCTGGTTCATGCAAGGTAAATAGGACCCATTTACTTACCTGGCCTGGAGATCCTGGTCGGTAGGGGACTGCCCGAGACCCCAGCAGTCCCCATGAAGCAGCTCTGTCCTCTCTGGCTCGGCAAGGCCATGTGATCACCGTGATCAACATGATCACATTGCCACAATAGGAGTCTATGGAGCTGCCAGCAGGAGGACTACCCGAGCGCTCAGGCAGTCAACCAGCCTGCTAAAAGTGTAAAAAAAAAAATTATAATAATAATAAAATACCAAAACACTAGAAAACCTTTACATGGGGGTATTGTTATACTTGAGAGACTTCGCTGAACACAAATGAGTGTTTTAAAAAGTAAAACGTATCACGGCAATGATATCACCAGTAAAAGTGCAGTTTTTGGCTAAAAAAAAATGCAAAAAAAAGAATTAAAAACGCTTACTTTGGCAAGCGTTTGTGACTAAGTGGCTACTACAAAAGACTGGAAATACGTCATTTTGAATACCCTTGGTTGTCTACATTTGAAAATGGTATGTCATGGTGGGGTTAATTTTCATTTCTGTGCTGCTATAACTCTCAAAGGCAACATAGCCCATCTGGCAAATAGCAATTTACAAAAACAGAAATTGGCAAATCTTATGTTTGACCCTGTAACTTTCCGAATCAAAATAAAACCTGTATTTAAGGGGTACTGCTGTACTCGTCAGACATCACTCTACACAAATATGAGTGTTTTAGAGCAGTAAAATGTATTATACTGATATCATCTGTGAAAAGGCAGTTTGTTTGAAAAATGCAAAGAAACAAATATAAATGCTAATTTTGGCTAGGGTTTGTGACTAAATAGCTACTACAAAAGACTGGACATACCCCATTTTGAATACCGTGGTTGTCTCCTTTTACAAATGGTATGTCATGATGGGGTTAATTTTAATTCCTGGGCTGCTATACGGTCTTAAAGGCAACATTTGCCCAGCAAACCAATCTGGCAAATTTCAATGTGCAAACATGTCAAAGTGGAAATCCCTACATTTGATCCCTGTAAGTTTCCAAAAAAAACATAAAACCTGTACATTGGGGATACTGGTGTACTCAGGAGATGTTGATGAACACATATTGGGGTGTTCTTTGTCATTAACACATAACAGGAACTGAGAATCCATGCCTAAAGTACAATGTGAGAGAAAAATAACAAAAAAATGACTACCCAAAGGATTGACAAAGACTGGTGGTAGAATTAGTGCATGGAAAGTGTTAAAATACCAGCAGTTGAAACCCTAGGGTGTCTACTTTTCAAAAACATATGGTTTGAAGGATGTAAATTACATTGGCCGGCTTAAAAATTGTCTCAAATAGGATATGGGTGCATGATGACCAGCTGTGAAAATTCCAAGTTGGAAAACTGTAATGCGCAACCCTTAAAGTTCTCAGTACACGTATTCTTAAATTGCTATGTGTGTCAAAAATATCTCCAGTCAGAATTATTTCTGGTTGCATTAAAAGCGTCAAAATACATAGTTACATAGTTACATATCTGAAAAGAGACTTGCGTCCATCAAGTTCAGCCTTCCTCACATTTGTTTTTGCTGTTGATCCAAAAGAAGGCAAAAAAACCCAGTTTGAAACACAATTTTGTAACAAGCTAGGAAAAAAATTCCTTCTTGACCCCAGAATGGCAGTCAGATTTATCCTTGGATCAAGCAGTTATTACCCTACATTGAAAGATTATATCCTTGAATATTCTGTTTTGCAAGTATGCATCTAGTAGCTGTTTGAACATCTGTATGGACTCTGATAAAACCACTTCTTCAGGCAGAGAATTCCACATCCTGATTGTTCTTACAGTAAAAAACCCTTTCCTTTGCCTTAGACGAAATCTTCTTTCTTCCAGTCTAAACGCATGGCCTCGTGTCCTATGTAAAGTCCGGTCTGTGAATAGATTTCCACACAATGGTTTGTATTGGCCCCGAATATATTTGTATAATGTTATCATATCCCCTCTCAGGCAACGTTTTTCTAAGCTAAATAGGTTTAAATTTGTTAACCTTTCTTCATAGCTGATATGTTCCATTCCTTTTATTAATTTTGTAGCCCGCCTCTGCACTTTCTAGTGCCATAATATCCTTCTTTAGAACAGGTGCCCAAAATTGCACAGCATATTCAATATGGGGTCTTACCAGTGATTTATAAAGAGGCAAAATGATATTCTCGTCCCGAGAATAAATGCCATTTTTCATGCATGACAATACCTTACTGGCCTTGGCCACTGCTGATTGACATTGCACATTGTTGCATAGTTTTTTTCTATAACAATTTCCAAGTACTTTTCGTGTGTTGTTATCCCTAATTCGCTTCCATTAAGGGTATACGTTGCTTGTGTATTCTTTACGCCGAAGTGCATAACTTTGCATTTTTCAACATTAAATTTCATCTGCCATTTGAGTGCCCAGTCCCCCAGTCTATCTAAATCCCTCTGCAGCAAAGTAATGTCTTGCTCACATTGTATTATTTTACAAAGTTTTGTGTCATCTGCAAACACTAAATACCTTAAGTTTAATACCTTAGGTTGTCTTCTTTAAAATATATACATTTGCAGGGTTACTCGGGGATTCCTGACAGATATCAGTGTTACAATATAACTTATTAATTTTGAAAAAAGCAAAGCGCTACTTGTACTTATTGTCCTATAACTTGCAAAAAAAAAAGCTAAGATCATGTTAACATTGGGTATTTCTAAACGCAGGACACAATTTAGAAATGAATTAGCATGGCTGTTTTTTGGCGGTTGTAGATGTGTAACAGATTTTGGGGGTCAAAGTTTGAAAAAGTGTGTTTTAAAAAAAAAAAATCATATTTTATACGATAAAAATAATGGTATCTTTAGAAAGACCATTTAATGGCAAGGAAAATGGTATATAATATCTCTGGGTACAGTAAATGTGTAAGTGGAAAATTACAGCTAAACACAAACACCGCAGAAATGTAAAAATAGCCCTGGTCCTTAACGGTTAAAGAAAATAAAAAACAGTCTGGTCACTAAGTGGTTTAATCTAATTTGTTTTACTTTTCTTTTCTCATTCATGTATCTAAATGTTTCTCTCATTTATTGATCTAAAATAGCTCTTGTGTAATCAAACAAGATGGGCTAGCTTTCACTAGTCAAATGCATAACCAAGCTGGTTGTCCTTCCTTGCACCCCTTTTGATAGGTACAAACGACTGCATGTTCTGACCCAGTTGTCTAGCCATGATTTGGCACTTATTAAAGTCACTCAAATCTTGTTGCTTATGCATCACACATGAAATTCAGGAACTGTTAATCTGCTGCCTAATATATTCCACCCCTTGACCTGTTCCATTGTAACAATATAATGTTTTTTTTTTTTTAATAGAACATGTCAGTGGTTTTAATGATAAGGGTGAACAATGTAAAAACAATTTTATTTTCTAGTATGAAATATATCCCAGAAAGCCTCAGTCACCCTCCTTTATGCTCTAGTTATTACTGCCAGCCAGTAGAGGAGCACATTTCTCTGTTAGAAGCCACTTTTTATTATTACTGGCATTTATAAAGCACCAACAGATTCCGCAGCGCTGTACAATTGGAAAAAAGACAAACACATTAAGAACAGACAGATACAACAGGTAGAGGACCTGCCCGTGAGCTTACAATCTAAATTGTAAAATGTTAATGGGGAGATGAGACAATACAATGCCAGTAAAGTTCAATGATCACATTCTGTTGCCATTTTAGTGAACTACACTACTAGTAATGCCTTTCAATGTCTTTACAAATACCTATAAACAAAGTTTACCATTTTTATTTATGTATTTGTCACATGTACTTACACCTACAATATTTAACACTGGATCTTTGTAAGATAAAAGGAAACTATACAGTCTAAAGCTTTTCATTTCCCAAATATTTTTTATAAAGTGTAAAGTTTTTCTGCAAAGCAATCTACACACAAAATTATTATGTTATTATTTATATAGCGCCAACAAATTCTTCAGTGCTTTACAGTGGGTGGACGAAGAGACATGTAGTTGTAACTAGACAAATTGGACACACAGGAACAGAGGGGTTGAGGGCCCTGCTCAATGAGCTTACATGCTAGAGAAAGTGGGGTATAGTGACACAAAAGGTAATGATAGTATTAAACTAATGACACTTGCAAGAGAGGAATCAGTCAGGAGCTATTAACAGTTTGATAGCTTTTATGAAGGAGTGGAGACTGGGTGAGCATCTAACGGAGGAAGGAAGTGAGTTCCACAGGAACGGTGCAGCCCTAGAGAAGTCTTGAAGGTGACCATCAGAGGTGGGAGTGCGGACAGAAGATAGACATAATTCTTCAGCAGAGTGTAAGGGCCTAGATGGGAAATACTTGTGTATTAGGGAGGATAAATAGGGGGAGCAGCATTATGTAGAGATTTGAAAGCAAGAACCAAAATTTTATATTGAGCCTTATATCTTACAGCAAGCATGTCAAACTGAAAGTCTAGCACAGGCCTCATAAACAAGGTGTAGGTTTATGTGGGCCTCCAAAAAAAAATCAACTTACGTTTTCATAGAAACATAGGTTTATTTTGAAAATTATAGTATTAAGAAAAAACCAAAAAAAAACACAGCATCCCCCTCTAAACCACAGCACCCCCTATACTAAATCCCAGTCCTTCCCCTCTAGCCAACAAGCAGACTTCACTCACATTGCCGCTGTCAGTATGCGACTCCGTCCTATGGTATACCCGAAATGGCGTCGTCCACATCCTGTTCCAAATCTGATCCTCCCGCTACTTCTTGAAACCCTGTGATGGTAGAGCACATTGATGTCATGTCAGAATGTGACATGGCATTGCGTGTCTCCATGCACCTCCAGGTACTCCACTGTCCAGTCGCAGCCAATGCGACACACAGACACATTTTGACCAAAGTAACCGTCTATTATTTGAAGGAGTAGAGTGTATATGTAAAAAAAAAATGAGGGTGCAGACAGTGGTTTTGTCCTAGGTAAAAAAAATTGATAATCACCTATAACGTGTGTTCACAATTTCGACATGAAAAGTTCTTTTAAAAAAATTTATATGAAATATTTACAAAATGACAATAGTCCTGTTCAGTCAAGACAAAAACCTTTTTATTATTAGCTCGTAGCAAGTAGCAATATATATTGTGGAGGCATATCCAAAAATGACATGGGTATATTTTTGTAATCTGCAGATGCAAGGTTCGTTACAGAAGCTTTGCTGTTAAAGGTAGCATCACAAATATATGTTAGCATATATGTTAATAAGGATAGTCATATTTTTCAAAGTTTGTGTATTGCTTGCATCCAGTTTGGCAACATGGAAATTTATCTCCCTAAAAAAATCTCACTTTTCCATTGTTCATCAGATGCCGAATAAACATTGTTCATGACATTTCGACCTTTGTATTCCCCCTTTTATCTGTAATAGAAATAGTATTTATAAAGAAATCAGATAAAGTATAGCAGGCATTCAAAAATGAAAAGTTTCTCTCACCTTTTCTGCCACAAAGTAAAAGTAGAGGCACGCCAATAATTAATAGCAAAGCCACAAATGAGATTTTAATGAGGCACATGTTATCAAAGTATGGACCAAGAATGTAGTCTTCTGAACAAATCTCTAAAAAAGAATTAGAATATAAAATAGAGATGCTGCCAACAATAATTGTAAAAACAAATTGGTATGTAACAAAGGAGAAATAAAATATATAAGAAAAAAACAAAAAAGTAACTAATAATACTGATACTGAATGCTGCAATAATTGAAGATTATGCTAGCTTTAGTGTACGAATAATCTTAATTTTAATAATGACAGGAGGTGAGTATTTTGCATAACTCTCTTTACTAAACTCCATAGCAGTAAAGAAAAGGATAATAAGAACCAATCAAAAAACAGTAGGAGGTATAGTATTCCCAGTGAACAGGCTCCTCCTCCTCTTTCAACTAGCGACATCGCAGACGGACAAAGTTCAAACAATTCTGAATCAAAGCCAGTCTTGGGTCTGTAACAGGAGAATCAATCCAAACTAATTAGGATAATCCATGGGAATGTTGGATCAACTTGGGATAATCTACATAGAGGTAATCGTAGGTCCAAGTGGAATTACGCTGAAACGAGAATGTGGAATAGGTTAGGTACTAGTCGTAAGACCATGAAAAACATGGAAGACATCTGGCTAAAAATTTCTCAGTAAGACTATAATACTATAATGACAGTATACTATTAATCGATACTTCTCTCCCTACAGTACAACAAGGTATAAGTATCATGACATACGAGAGATACACAATATACGTTGGATAGTCGGAATGATGAAGGGAGAGATAGAAAAAGCTTGCTTCATAAAGGAGGATAGAGGAATCTGAGGAAGGAACAGCATAGATATACTTGAAGACCGAAAGGGGTTGGTATGTGTGGGAAAATACTCGCCTCCTGTCCTTATTAAAATTAAGATTATTAGTACACTAAAGCTAGCATAATCTTCAATTTTATTACATGACAGGAGGCTTTGTATTTTGCATTTTTAACGCTAATGTAACAAAGCAAACGCCACGCAGGAGTTCAGTCTAAAGTAGAAGGTCCGAAGAGTGGATTCGCGGGACCAGTCAACCGTGTGAAGGACGTCTGATAGTGATGCTCCGTCTGTGTAGGCCGAAGAAGCAGCCGCGCCTCTCACCGGATGAGCCCCCAAAGTTTGATTTGGTGTGTCGGGAGATTTGGAAGGTGACCCCTTTGGGGTTTATCGAAAAAGGCATCGACTTCAAAGGCCCTAACGTTGGATACCCGGCGAAATGAGACTAGACAGAGTAAAATCGTCATCTTGGCCAAACGTTGGCGGAGCGAAAGTCTGTTGTTAGACGGCCATCCTCTTAAGAAGGTAAGGACGAGGTCCACGTCCCAGAGGTGAGCGTATTTGGGGGCCGGGGGACGTTTGAGCCATATGTCCCTCAGTAATCGACATACCATAGGGTCCTTACCCGCTGGGATCCCTTGGAAAGGAATATGGGCCACTGAGATTTCCGATTGAACTACGTTGATCGTTCGATATGATTTCCCGGTTGCAAAAAGCGACGACAGGAAATTCAAGATGGCGGGAATAGGTGCCATAAGTGGATTGAGGTTCCGTTCCATGCACCAAGAGGACCAGGAGAGGTAGCATAATCTCGTCTCTGGTGCCCATGAATCCCATATGAGGTCCCTAGCAATCTGCAATATTTCGCCGACTTGCCAGTCTCTCTTCCAGTATTAGCGGGTGAGGGTTTCCCTTCAAGTCCGTGAGGAGAGTCGGGAGTGATGGCAGCAAGAGCGGTTCTGCGTAAGATAGTGCTAGAAGATCTGGGAACCACGGTTGACTCTGCCATAGGGAGGTAATTAGGAGCAGAGAAATCTGGTGTAGCTTCAGATAATGGAGAGTCCTTGCTATCATAGCGAATGGGGGAAATGCGTAGGCGCTGAAGGACGGCCAGGTCTGTAGGAAAGAGTCCACCGCTTTGCATTCTGGATCCGGGAGCCAGTTGAAGAAGTCTGGGGTTTGTCTGTTGTTGCGTGACGCAAAGAGATCCAGATGGAAGGGTCCTCTCATTCGTGAGAGGACAGTGAATACCTCTGGGTCCAGAATATAGTTCGGCCGTTCCTGGCCTGCATGCTATCCAGCCACCATTGAAGTTCCTCCCTGACCTCTGCCATAATCGGTACTGGTTGGTCGTAGGTGGGATTTCGGCAGAGGAAGGATGCCTTGAGGCGTTGCATCGCCCTGCAGTGGAGTGGTCCCGGGAAGATGGCTTGGATGGATGCCGATAGGAGGCCCACAATCCGAGCGAGATTGCATAGAGGAACCGATCGGCACCGGAGTGTCTTGCGGATTTCCTTCCGAATAGCAGCGATCTTGGCTGTCGGGAGGCGGAGTGTGCTGGAGACTGAGTCGATTTCGAACCCCATGAATTGTATGGTTTGGGACGGAGTTGTAGCCGATTTCTGATAGTTTACCGCAAACCCTAGGGACTCTAGGAGATCCACGGCAAAACGTGTATGTAGTCTGAGTCTTGACTTGACGGAGCAGATGAGCAGGAGGTCATCCAGGTATATAATGCAGCGAATTCCTCTTGTGCGCAGATGAGTAACCACCGGCTTCAGTAGTTTGGTGAAACACCATGGGGCCGAAAGGGAGGCAAGTGAATTGCCATGGTCGATCGTACCACATGAAGTGGAGAAAACGTCTGCTTTTGGCGTGAACCGGTACTGAAAAGGTAGGCGTCTTTGAGGTCCAATCTCATGAACCAATCGCCTTCCTGCAGGAGGTCCCGTAAGAGGTGAATTTCCTCCATTTTGAAGTGGCGGTAGACCACGTGGGCGTTGAGTGTATGGAGGTTTATGACCAGCCAGAGGTCTCCTGTTTTCTTTTTTACTAAGAAGATGTTGCTGAAGAACCCTCTGGAGTCTGGGGCGAGTTCTATCGCGCCCTTGTTGTGGAGTTCCCGAAGTTCGACTTGGATGAATCTGGTGTCCTCTGCCGAACGGTTGAGCGGTCGTGGTGGGAATTCTTGATAATGTACCGTCTGGAGGATCCAAGCGTCTGACGAAATGGTCGTCCAGTTCAGAAAGAAAAAAGAGAGAGACGACCTGCATGTAAGGTGGTCAGAGGTAGATGGTAGCTTAACTGGTGCGAAGCGGGATCTGCCACGTCCACAGGTACTGCGTCTTCTGTCCGAACCTCTAGGGTAGGTGAAAGGTTGGCGGTATCGCACTTCCGGGTAGAAGGGTTGAGGTCTTGAGGATTGGGGGCCTGATGGCCAGAAACGGCTGGCAACACGGCCCCTGTGGCGGCCAGCCCGTCCAAAAAACACCCCTGGGGATTATTGTCTGAAGATCTTCCTCATTGATGTTTGAGCTTTTAATTTTAATAGGGTAGTAATAATTAGCCATAGAGTTGTGGTTCATTTGAACATTATTGGGTAGATTTATTACTGAAAAACCACCAGCCCGCTAAGCATCGAACATACGATGTTTGGTAGGTGTTGTCTGTTCCACCTCCTTGTCTAAGTCCACGCGCATGTGCGCAGGACGGGAACGCTCTGATGAATGCTAACCACTCCCCTTCGACGGGGTTCGGATTGACATGCCCCTACCAGCTATCGATTGGTTCCTTGTTGGTAGGAGGAGTTATTGGGCTATAAAAGGGGTGATTTCGAGTGGGGGAATGCTATTACACGCCCTTGACAAAGGCGGTTTACCCGCCGAAACGCGCGTTGGGCAATTTTGTTTGCAGCCTGTGCCTAGCCTCTTAGTTGATTCCATTTCACTCATACCTTTTGCATAAGTAACTTATATGACCGGCCGGCCATTAGTTCAATTGAGGTTGTTTCCAATTACTTTGAGACTATGTAATGGAAGTTCTTTCCGTCTAAATATACACTGTTTATATCAATCTCTTTTACCTCTCGTCTCACTATCCTTTCGATTTCCTCTGTATCTCAATGCATTTATTGCCTATTAAGGAGTATGAAGGAGTTAGTGAAGAGTTTTTCTCTTTTTTGTATTTTAATGAGAGGGTTCAATTTATCCATTCTTAGTGCATTTGATTAATAAGGCTAGAGCATAGAAGCACTTCGGCTTGGTTGCTGTAGTCTGATACATTATATTGTTACATTGTTTCTACTTATACTCTGTAACAATTTGTAATTTGTTACAGATTTATTCAGCACTGTTTTTTCAGCCGTATTCAGCCTGCATTCTTTTTCTTTTTTTTGGGTTAGGGTATTTAGAATTTAGTAGTGTTTAATAAAGATTTTTAACTAGGTATTTAATCTGTTTATGTGTGATATAATGAGTTTACACATATTTGTGTGGGGGTAGCTGTAGTGGAGGAATTCTCCCTCTTGGTAGGGATTATTTCCTCTTACTACTTCTTTATATTCTTTTGGTCATATTTTGTAGGGTTAAGCCCGTTTAGCTACCCTTTTAGCCCTTTTCTCTGTGCCCTGGGTTAGTGTTCATTCTTGTGGACTCTGCTCAGTGGCACTTTATTTCGATGTTTGAGCTTTACTTAGTGAGGTAAAGACGTTGACATGGCGATTCAATTCCTTTAGGAATGGGTCTCCAAATAATTTGCCCTGTGCCAGAGGTCCGAGTTCTTTGGTGCCCAATTCCACCAACTTCCCGTCTATGCGGAGAAGTGCTGCCTTACGCCTCTCAGATGAGAGGGCCACATTTGCGTTTCCAAGGAGACAGAAACCACATTGAGTCCATTTGCGGATATCGTGAGCCCATTTCCTGACCATGTTGGCATCGAACTGGTCTGCTCATTGGAAGGCATCGTCTGCCAGGTACATGATGCGGGAGAGGGGTCCGGAGGTATCTAGTAGCGTTTCTTGGACCCCTTTGAATCCCCTCTCCACCCCGCGGCAGGGGTTGTGACCACCTCTACTCATGAAGGTAGTGATTACCTGGTGAAATTCAGGTGTCAGGGCTACTTGATCTGGTAGGGAAGGACGGGGGCATTCCGACTTCAGTCGGTTGTGGACTACCTTGTCCATAGGTTTACGCAGCCATAGCGAGGTGTTCCGGAGGTGTCCAGTCTGTCGAGCGAGGGTGTCTGATGTTAGGGGGGTCAAAGAGGGTCCA